TTCGAAAAACATTTCTGACTGCAACAGTCTTCCACTGGTATGAACTTCTTTTCAGCGACAAGTTTCTCTGAAGTCGAGACATATTCGACACCCTGTTAAAAAAATATTTTAAAGGTTATAAATTAAACAGATTTATAATTTTGATTGAATTTTTTAATTAAATTAATTTTTTGTTAATATTTAATAATTGAAAAATAAATTTCAAACTATAAAAAAATGGGGAACTAACTCTGCTGGGGCTCGAAACCCCTCGAAATATTTCAGTTAATATTTAAATTATATAATATAAACAGGGTGTCTACTAACCGGGAAAAACTGGGAATTAACAGGGAATTTTATACCAAACCGGGAATTTTTTCACCAAAATTAAAAAAGTTTTATTATTTTAATTTGTTTTTAAAAAATCACTTTTTATTTTAATTTTTATAGACATTTATACTGTTCTCTAAATTTAAATTAGTTAAAAATAATTAATTTGATAGTAAAAAGACAGTCACCAATTCAAACATATTATGTAAAAAATTTTAAAAAATTATGGAGTTAATAGAAATATTGTGAAATTCGACTGAAAATATGTAATTAAATTTGTTAAAAAATTTCATTAGAAAGTTTTTGACAAATAAAATTTTCAAAGTATTTTGATTTAATAATTGATTAATAATTGAATATTATAAAGAAAATTAATAATAATACTTACTTTATTTCGACAATTCTTTTTTACATTTCTCGCCCAATTTTCAGTATTTACTTTTCTTTTTCTACCTCTTGAAGGATTTTGCGAAGAACTTTCCATATTAAAAAACTTACACAATAAAAAGTATTTATGAACTACCACGTAAAATATAATTTAATACAGTTTACTTTGTCGAAAATGCACAAAAAGAAATAAAGAAAAAAATATTTCTCATGTTAAACACATAGTTCTTCACATCTATATGCAAGTATACAAAGCAGTGCACTGAATTTGACTTTTTAGTCTATTAAATGTAAACAAAAACACTGACACCGATGAAAACAAAACATTAATATGCTTTTTTCGGAAAACAATATTTTTTCATATCACTCAATATAAGAATAAATAAATTATTATATTAGCGTTAAAAAATATTATTAAAATAATAAATATTATTTATTTTCATTATTCTAAGCTGTGAAATGAAAAAACAGACAGTCCTGGCTGTCTCCTTCAGATATAGAAATTCGTTTCGTTAGAGTCCGCCGCGCGAGAAAAGTTAAACGTTGTTAGAATTTTTTCTAACAATTTTTATAATTTAATAATTTCCAGAAAACTTTTTTATACTATTTTGAACAACTTCTTCACTGGAAGTTTTCATTTGCTCAAAATTTCCTCGATAAACGAAGCGTTCAAAAATTATGGTGTTGAAATTTTACCATTGGCTAATAAATATTTTTTAGTTTGTTTATAAACAAACATATAAATTTTTAAAACATATATTCTCAAAAAGGATAATATAAAGTGTGTCCATTCCAAATTTGATTGAAAAATATGCAAAATTGTAGATTTGGCAGCGAGTTGAAGATGAAATTTTAATTAAAAATTCGTTTGAGAAAAAACAAGTTTTTTAATTTTATTTAAAAAAATATTAATTCTACAACTTTTTCTCAAAGGAAAAAAAGATGCAGTTTTTTATTCTTTATAAGAATAAAATTTAAAAATTCAAAAATTTTGAAGTTGAATATTTTATTGCCAGGGGACTACCCCCCACTCTTTTCTCGGAGCTATGTCTGGTTCTTGCATCAAGGCGTTCAAATATGAACCTTAAAAAAACTCAGACCTTAAAAATAGCAAATTATTGTGAATTAAAAATTTTTATTTAAATTAAAATTTAAAGTCAAACTCTTTACATTAAAATTCTGATCATTGATAATTATAAAATTACGAATATTGTTGAACATTTTGAGATTCAATATGGAGACGTTATTCTCCACTTGAGAACGTCAAGGTCACCGCTAGATAGCAGTTCAGTTCCTTCTTGGAATTTTTACTGTCATCTGGTGGCGACCTTGGGGTTCTCAAGTGGAGAAATTAATCTACAATTTTTTCAAACAACTTCTTTTCAGTTAAAAAATATTATTTTGAGAATAATTTTAGTTTTTTTCAGTTAAAATTCAGATCAAATTTTTAATTTCCTATTAAAATGAAAAGTACCATTTTAGTAAAAATTTATATCTCTATATGTATAGAATTTAGAAAAAGTGTCAGGAGAACAACTTTTTGACTTCGTAATGAAACTATGAAAGAAAGCTATTTCTCCAAATAAAAGTATAATTTATTTTTAACACTGCACTACACAATAGAAAAAAGAGTATATTGACCTAATTTCCGATTGTACGAAATTTTTAAGCAAAATAAAGATTAACAGTTGCTTAATTTACACAAAAAAACGTTAATATTAATCAAAAAAAGCATTCAAAAACAAATTAAAACTAAAATAAGAAAAATTTCCAACTTTGAAAATTTAGGATCAGTCTCAAAATTTTTATCTGTATTCCTAAATTTCTGATAAAACAAAAATAAGTATGCATACAATAAAAATGATGGTTTTCAGATTCAAGAAATTAAAATAGTGAATAATGTTTCTTCTTCTTCTTCTTTTTTTTTAGGTGAAAAATTAAAATTTTCACGAGGGTGGTTTCTGCTATATTCATAACAAAACTGATGTATCCGGAAAGAGGGTTCGCTAAAATGAGCAACGACGCCATTCAAGTGTAGTAACACTTGAGTATGAAGTATGATGCTGCGTACGTAATTCAGGGAGAGATGAGTTTACGAGCTTCCTTCACGACCATTTATTTACAGTTGTTCAAAGCGCACTAACATATGACTCAACAAATCGTTAAGTCAAAATTACAATTTAAATTAAACTATATTTAAAAAAAAGGAACAGAAAAATAAAAAGAGAAATACCCATGCGGGCATTTTTTTAATCCCAATCATTAATTATAATATCACACGTATAAACCGCTATATTGTGCGACAAAAAAATTCATGTTTCACCTCCTATTTAGTTTCGTAAATTATTTTATTTTATTACAACTACTATTAATATATTACTCATTATTATTTCTATAGAAATAGAAATTTTATTAACATATTTCTTACCAATTTTTATTTTACTATATGAAAGAAACTGAAATTATTCTCAAAATAACATTTTTAACTGAAAAAAGTTGTCTGATAAAATGGTGGATTAATTTCTCCACTTGAGAACGCCAAGGCCACCACCAGAGGGCAGTGAAAATTCCAAGAAGGAACCGAACTGCCATCTAGCGGTGACCTTGGCGTTCTCAGGTGAAGAACAGCGTCTCGATATTGAATCTCAATCTATTCGTAATATTAATATTATTTATGATCAGAATTATTGTAAACGCTTCTAAATAATAATTACAGAAAACAAATTGAGGAAAAATAGATTATTTTATTTATATAAATAATAATAATAATTACAATATAATAAAAGTTGCCAATTGTGATTACATAAAACAGTAAATTACAAAACGTTTAATAACAGTAGAAAATCAGAATAAACCATCGACCTTCCTTTTTATAAACATAAGGAAACAAAATTTTTATTAATTTAAGCTCTGACGAAACAAATCTATAATCTTTTTGCACAAGAATTTAAAAATCGTGATCTATCGCGCAAAGCGAGTGGTAAAGCGAATCACGAAGGAATCGTGACGCGGAAGTTTGTCTTTTTCACTCCAACTGACAAAAGACTCTCGATAACTCGAAAAAGATTTCTCATGTATGTATATAAAGCATTTAACTCTCACGATCTCTTGGAGGGCTCGTGTGTATAAAAGTGAATTTCAGACAGTTATATCTATGCAAGAGTCTACAAACTAACACAAACTTATATTTGTTGCAGGACGTTGTAACAGTAGGTCACTAGTGAAAGTGCTTAGGAGCGACACGATTGCCTGTAGTTGCACCAGACAGATTAAGAGGTGGGAGGAGGGGGGGAGAGAGAGAAGGGGGGCTTAGATCGCCGGTGTTCACTCTTCCTGGTGCAATTCGCTATGCCACTAACGTGACGGATGAGTGGGTGGATAAAAAAGCGAGAAGGGGAACCTCGGTTAATCATTGCATCCTCATCGCGGTTAAGATGCATTTTTTTTCCTCTTCTTTCTCTTTCACCAAAGAATAGAGCACTGATAATACAATAATAATAATGTATTATTACTAGAATTAACTCCATCTTTCTCTCTCTCTCTCTCTCAGGCCATCAACCCTTTTGTATATTTATCGTAAAGACAAATTCAGGCTTTGTACTCATCTACTAAGAATACTTTTTTACGGTTTACTACTATTTAAATAATATTATTTTTACATTTGTGCCACTAAAAGCTACTATTTTCCCACAATTTTTTAACGGATATCAAATTGAGACAAAAACGATTAGCGAATCAAAAGTGTTGCCTCGCAAAACTTTTGATTCGTTTTTTTGTTTATTTGAATCAAATAACCGATTACTTGACTATTATCAATTAAATATTAACTTCAATCAAATAATTTTTTATTTCAGTCAATAATAATTAAATGGTTCAATTCATATTTTATTTATTCCAAATATGCAGTATATTTGAGTTTACTGAAACAGCCCGTCTAAAAGACTCAGAAAATATAGCCTAATTTAGTTAGGCTGATTTTATTCTCTAAATTTTTGTCCGTATATAATGTCGTCATGAAAACTAAAATAATAAGTTTCAGAGCATATTTCTAAAAAATATATTTTTTACTTGGCTTTCATAAAGTTTTGTTTCTAAGGATTTTAGAGTTAGTTATTGGAAATTCGAACTTATTTCTAAAATTCAAAATATCAGTTTTAAAATAATATGCTATTTAATAGACCAATAAAAATGGTTAAATGTGGTTGTCACGAATTTTTAAGGTTGATGATTGTAGATTAGAAATAAAAATTGAAAATGTTCTTTTTCGAATTATGGAATAGATATTTTAATAAAATGATTGTTTGTTTGTTTAAATGCTTGTTTATTTAGATGTTTGTTTAGATACAGTAAACGACACCATCTTTTTTAGTTTACAATTTTTTCGTTTATCTAACCTAATCAAAAAGTCTGGTTTACCCTATCATAAATATTTACTTTCCGCGATGAACTGCATGCAATTCGTTCGACTTTTGAAGTAACTGTTTTAAGCGAATTTTCACTTACTTAAATTTAAAGAGTAATAATAATTAGTTACTTTTTATTGATTTAAATTTAAAATCTAATAATTACTTCACATGTTTCTTAAAACTGATGCTTTGCAGCATATTCAAAGTGTACTTCTGCAGTTTTTGTGCTGCCTCTACAATTTTGCATTACAGATTGTAGAGGCAGCACAGTAAAAACTGCAGGAATACACTTTGAACACAGTTTCAGGTGTCAGCACGGTAAACATTCATAGAAATTTCTCTCCGTGTAAACAGTTTTGATTTTTTACATAAATATTCAAATGATTTAAGTATAATTTTCGAATAAATAGTAGGAAATATTTCCGAAATTCATGGAAGATAATTCTTTTTATTTATTCGGAAAAATTTCCACCGTTTGGGGTTCCATGCTGTCCGTATTTTTTCGGAAAAAATGGCGAAAATTTTTTTACAGTGAACTATAAAGTGAGGGTCTTTTTCTAAGAATACTAAAAATGCTTTTCCAAAAGCCTTCTTTTTTTTTAGGTTTCTTTTAATTGCTTATTCGTTCTTTCAATTTCCTATAATTCTTTCATCTAGCAATGTTTGATATTTTTCTAATCTTTTGTGATATTCAGCATGGCAAATATTCATAGAAATTTCTGTCATGGAGATAATTCATGGAAGATAATTCCTTTTAATTATTCGGAAAAATTTCCACCGTTTATGGTTCCGTGCTGTCAGTATTTTTTCGGAAAAAATAGAGAAAATTTTTTTACAATGTCATACTAAATGGGGATGATTCTACAATAACCCTATGATATCTATCCCAAAAGCCTTTTTCTTTTTCAGGCATCTTTTCTTTTCCTATCGTTTCTTTGAAGTTTGTAACTGTTTCATTTATCGATATTTTTGCTTCTTCAATTTTGTTTTCAAATTCATTTAAATTAATTGTGTTCTCCTTAAGTTTACATAATGTAATTAATATTGATAATCTGTCATATAGTATTTTAACAATAGCCTCCAATAAAATGTTTATTCGTCTTATTTTTCCTGACATAATTATGCTATCAATAAATTCAGTTAGGCTGATTTTATTCTCTAAATTTTTGTTCGTTATGAAGTCTCTAACAATATTATCACTCTCTTCCAGAATTTTAATTTTAAACTTTGCATCAGAATTATCCAATGAAGAAGAATACATACGACTGTAGATTTGCTGAAAACTGGATTCTTTTTGCAATAATACACTTCTATCTAACGTCCTGTTCAAATCATTGTAGTTATCAATGTACCTGTTATTCACTTTTAAAGTTAAATCTGTAAAATCATTCATGTTCAGTAAATCATCATTAGTCCTTTGCAGGCAAAGTTTCGAGTTGACTGAAAATGTGAAACCTATATCCTGATGAGATGGCTTGCGTATGCTATCGCAGTTATTAATAGCTCGAATAATATTATCATCGATGTCAGAAGTAACTCTCCCTACTTTTTTCACTTTCCTGAAGAAGGCTACACGTTGGTTATTATTTATTATATGCCGTACAAATTCTTTTGAAACTTCGGATATATCCAATTCTGGACTTGATAATAAATTTCTATTAAAATTATAATTGAGGAATTCAGAATTGACTGGAGAACCATTGTCAGTCTCGAAAAGTGCTTTTGATATAATTACTGATATACTTGGGAAAATATCTTTAAACGTGTTATTAAAATATCCTTCTACAGTTTTTAAAAACGTTAAAATCTGATTAATATTTCCACTAGTAATCTCACCATAGCTGATTACTAAAATAAGTTTCAGAGAATCGACCTTTTTTGTCAAATGATACATATGAAAGGCATTATTTATATCTCCCTTTTCACCTCTATTGTCCTCAAATCCAGCGGTATCCCAGAAGTCCAAATTCTGTAATGCTGACCTTTCTGAGCTCCATCTTGTGGGAATTGTAGTCACTGACACTGATCCAGCACCAATTTCTGGTCCTCTGACATTATTGTTAGCTTTTTTTATTTTTATTTCACGTTTCTCTTTATAAGCAATCAATGCATTTCCCATCAAGTAATTAATTAATGTACTTTTGCCACTTCTTGCGCACTGCCTATGACAATTGCCGCATTTCCACTTTGACCTCGAGTTGCTGCTTCCATTCGACGTTCAGAATCATGGAAAAGTTGTCTTAATTCATATACGTCATTAATATTGAAAATACATTCTTCGCTTCTGATCATCGAAATTAGGAAGCAGATTATTGCAAGTCTTATCATGATTGTTAAAGAATATACTTTTAATTTTCCCAGTTGATATTTAAATGTAATCGACCGCAAACACTAATACAATCTGTAAATATTACTAATGAAATAATTGGAATAAATATTAATTTGATCTTTAAGATGCTATATGCTTACCGCCTTACGGTGTCAAACTTATTCGTATGTGTAATACACAGGAATAATCAGACGAACTTCACTATTTCTTTTTTGTTTCAAACTTTAATGTCACGTAACAGAAGGCTTTAAAATAGCGTTTAAAAATAATACGCGATTCTCCAACTTATATACTGTTCATGTTGAATATTATTTAAAATATCTCAGAAATTTTATGTACTGTTTTCCAATAGAAAATGTACAGGTACAACGAATTTAGATTGGGAGAAAAAAATATTATTTATCAGTGAATAGATGTACTGTTAACCAATAAAAAAACGACAGATTGGAAGAAAAAAAATTTATTAATCATTGAATTGATGTACTGTCGACCAATAGAAAATCTACAGATTGGAAGAAAAAATATTATTAATCAGTAAATTGATGTACTATTGACCAATGGAAAAACTACAGGTCCAACGAATGTATAGATTAATGTTAATTAATTAATAGAATTAATGTGAATAGATAGAGTGCACATAAATAATCAAATTTTCACATTAGAAATTGAATTATTTAAATAAATTATTAATTCAGAATCATTAAATTTTTTGAACGATATTAATTATTTTGAAATTTTTTTATAAAATTCTTCGAGAGAAATTAAATCATTTTTAATAATTTTTATAAAATTTGTTTATAAGAATTGATCTATTTTTAATAAAATTATTGTAATTATTTTCCTCGAAGTAATTTTTTTATTTTCAAGGTTTTTAATAAACCATTCTTCAAAAAAACGTTTAGTCATTTAAAAAAGTTTTTAAATTATTCGTTGTAAGAATTTAATTTTAGGAAATAATTAAGGGGTTACGCCACCCTGAAATTTTCAAAAAAATTTATTTTTTTTTTTGCTTAATTTCAAAGTTTATATTCTAACGAATATTTTGAGATGTCGCCGAAGACAATGTCTCACTAATTACAAAAGTTATGGTCATTAGAAGTCAGCGCGGTGGGGACGCGCCGAGAGCTGCTGGAAGCAGCGACTTTCTATTTTCGAATGGTCTAGGGGGCCCTTTCATGATTTAGGAAGGGTCCTTTTCATTGTATCCCTTCCATTCTTAAATAAAAAAAATTATGGCCCAGGAATTGCTGATTAAATAGTAAATTGAAAAATTTTCAAGTTATAATACACTAAAGTTCATTTTTTTCTTCTTTTGCGTTTTTCTCGAAACCACAATTTTCGAGACGGTGTACACGATAACTCAAAAACTATTCAATCGATTGACTTGAAAATTAATATACATCTTCCTAAATAGATTTTCCACAGAGTGACGTGGGATTTTTTTGATTGAATAATTTGAAAATTTTTTATCCAATTTTTTATACGGTAATTTTAGCCAAAAAAAAATGTCAATTTTTGAAGTGCTTCCATTTGCGTAAAAAATTTTTTTTTTTAAAATGGCTTCGTCACTCTGTTCAAAATTTATCACTTTTTAAGAAAAATATTGTTTTACTTGTTTCTGACAAAAATTGAACTGCCAATCATGTACACCATCAAGGAGTGCTCCGGAAAAATTGATCCACGCCAATAGTTATATCTCCGCCATTTTTAATTAAAAACATTTTTTTTTTAAATATTTATAAAGCTCAATATATGTACTAAAGCATCAATAAATGTAAAGAAGTCCTACCTGAAACAGTTTTATCAAAAAAATTCCTAAAAAACCATCCGATTTTCATGCGTTCAGGGTGGCGTAACCCCTTAATTATTGCTTCCTCATGAATGAATTGTTTTACAGAAAATTTTTAAATTCAATTTTTTTACTTTGCTGACGTTTTCACGTTTCTTTATCTCAAGAATTAAAAAATCATTTTTTAAAACATGTCATTCCGTATATGTGTTTTTACATCAAAATAAAATTAAAAAATATATTTTGTTAACCCTCCATCACACACCTATAGGGAGGGATTTCCTCTACGTTTTCAGTATTTTTTAAATAACTTTTGTTTTCCTCATTGCAAAATAAAATCAGTTTCTATACCTTTCGACAATTTCCTCCTCAACACATTTCTAAAAAAAAAACATTTAGTTTAAACATAATTAATCTTTAATTATGAGGCTTCAAAGCCAGAAAAAACTCGAAAAAGTGAGGTTATGTTAAATAAAAAAATCAAGTTTTCAAAACATTTTTTGTTCCACTGTTGGTTAATGACAAAATTGTATTATAAATATAATTAAAATGAATTGTTTAATGATTTTTTTGCTTATTTGTTAATGTTACATCATTTTTACATGTAAAGTGGAATTCCTTCGAAAGATGTGCATTCGTGTAATTAATTTTTATTTTCGAGACCGAAAATTAATTTTATTATAATTTTATAATTTAGAATAATTTACTACATATTTGTAAGTTTGTGTTAAAATTAAATTTTTGTTGATTCCTTCGTTTATGTTGTAATGTCGCTTATTTTACAATGTGGTGAGGGATAGAAAATTTACTGAGAATATATATTTTCTTTTTAAAAATAAGTACTCACATTATTGTTATCCTGATGAAATGATTTATGTATATTCTGTGCAGACTCACCTGTAACAAAATAATAAATTGTTAATTTTTATTTTAAAAGAAATAACGAAAATTAAAAACTTTAACTAAAGGAGTAGATCATTATTTTGTAGATCTACTCTTTTAATCTTCGCATATAACTTATTTAATTTAATTTTTACTTTAAGTTCTTCAAATTGATTTTCTAATTTAATTCTTGATTTTAATTTGCAAATTTAATTTTAATTTTAATTAATTATTTCTAATTAGTACAAAGTTTTGAACTTTATTGTATAAATTGATTCAAATTATGCTTATAGTATGAATTTCAGTATTAATCCATATTTAAACATTGAAGAAAGTTGTATTATTGTTACTATTATTATCAATTCTTACTATTATACCAGTAGCAAAAAAAATCAAATAAAGACCCAAAATATGCAGAGGTAAAATTGCAATAAATAAAGCGCAACGACAGAAAAGTGAAACTAGACCGACATGTAGATTTTCACGTAACCGATCACGTAAACTCGAGCACATAACTAAGACTAAAAATAATTTCAACTGAATGTAAAGGGCAAATGATTAAATCTGCGTAAAGGCTCCACAAGATAAGATACGCTTTTTTCGCCATTAAATGTCTCTCGACGATTTAATAAAGAATTACACTAGTTTTTTTTTTTACTTAAAAAAATAAATTTTATTAATTTTACAAGCAATTTTAAAATTCAATTCTACAAACAATTTAAGTTCATAAACAAAAAAGAAGAATTTTACTAGGATCCGAAAATTGAAAATTTCAAAAATACAGAACCGTAATTTAACAATATAAAACATCAAATAACACAAAGTAACACAGTTTTTCTAAAGATATCAAATTGAGACAAAAATGTTGCACTTCGCAACACTTTTGATACGTTTTTTGTCTCAATTTAATATCCTTAGAAAAAACCGTGTAAGGAAACATTATAAAAGGGAAGGAAATCGGATATTTATAATGATGACAAAAAAAGAGAGCGCGAAAGGTAGAAATTTTATTGAAAATAAGAGCGAAAGCTCTTTTTGAAAAGGGTAAAGTGCATGCCCCGTGGATGTATAATGTAAATTGTAAACCTGACCATGCAGCCAGGTTACGAGCATGGGACCATGATCGCACGCAACATGCATAAATTACAAACAACTCCTGGCTGGATCCTTACAATCACTACACGTCACGGTGAAAGTTACCCGAGGTCAAACTAACAAACCATTCCTGCACGTGCCTTCGCTAAAATAAATCGAAAAAATAAATATAAATAAATTTTATTTCATTTAAATCACATGTAATTTTTCTTTTTTTGCATAGAACAAACATTTCTTGGATTTCAAAAAAATTTTTTTTCATAAAAAGCTATTTTATATTATGAATCCAAAGATTGAAATTCTCTTGACACTCAGACTTCGCACTCGATAATTAATTTTAAAAAAGTAGCCAAAAATTGCTTTCGCAAACTAAAAAAAGGAGTAAAAAAGTATACCTATCGAAAAATTAAACTTAACGACCATAAAAAAACTCGTTTTAGACACTTAACAAAATTGACAAAAATTCCATTCTATATTTTATTTTACTAACTTTTTCCTAATTTTCATTAAAAATATTTACTTCTTTCTTAATTCTGCTAACAAATTGAATTCCTGCAACGAATTTTATTATTCATGAAAGAATTTCAATATTTATAAAAATAATTTAATTCTTGCGAAAAATTTTATAAAAATTTTTAAATAATTGACTTCTTTCGACTAATTTTATGCAAATTCTAATTAAAATAATTGAATTTCTGAGAAATTTTTATTATTCATGAAAAGAATTCAATTCTTACGAAGATTTTTACAAAAAAAATTTTAAATAATTGAACTCTGTTTGGAAATTATATGAAAATAGTAGATATTGAAAATCATTGAATTGCGAAAAATTTTTTAAAATAATTAAATTTTACAAAGAATTCAATTACAATTTTTCACAATAATTGAATGTCTGTGTGGCATTTTATTACATTCTTTTGAAAATAATTGAATTTTTAAAAAACATTTTATTATTTACGAAAATAATTGAATTCTTGTTAACGATTTTAGTATAATTTTTTTTAAAAATTGAATTTTCAAGAAAAAACTTATTACTTTTCAAAATAATTTAATTCTTATGATGAATATTGTTATTTTTTATGAAAAAATTTAATATTGCACAGAATTTTATTAAAATGCCTCAAAATAATTGAATTTTCGGGAATAATTTTGTTATTTATCTTTAATAATTAAATTCTTTCGAAGAATTATTTTTGTAAATAATTGAATTTTTGGGAAAAATTTTATAAAAATCTAAAAGATTAATTGAATTATTTCAAAAAAATTTAATTAAAATTGTATTTAAAATAATTGATTTCGTTCGAAAAATTTTATTAAAATATTTGAAAATAATTAAATTCCTGTGAAGAATTCTAATATTTTTGTAAATAATTTAATTCTTCCAAATAATTTTAAAAAAACATTTTTTTAAATAATTAATTTTTTCGAGGAATTGAAATTTTATATTTTAGAATAATTACATTTTTTGAGAAATTTCTGTAAAATTTTATTTAAAATAATTGAAATCCT